AGAACAAACTCTTGCTTGCGGGTGCAAGATTAAACCCCCACAAGTGAATCTCAACTCACTCAACCCCTTCAAGGATTATCCCAATCCAAGAAGAATACAAAACCTTTGTAAGACAATTAACCCAAAAGCTCACAAGAAGAGAAGAAGAAGGAGATCCAGAACACTTTCAAAAACAAACCCTGTTTTTCTGTATTGCTGGAGTAGTTCGTCCTTCTTCATACCTCAGATCTGATTTTTTATGAGTTGGTTGGGAGCCTTGCAATTAAAGCCCATTTAGCCTTTCAAAGCCACCTCACAATTGCCCCAATTAGGTTCCACCTTATTCTACTAACTTAGACTTGACTTTGGAAAGTGCTCAGACAATGGTTCCCCCAAGGCGCATTAAGAATAATAATAAATGGATAGATGAGCTGTCAAAATTTAACTTTCCAAAATTTTTTGCTTCGAAGCCAGAAATAATGGTTTGAACCATTTTCGGAAAACAAAAGTTCGGGATTGATTTGAACCAAAATAAATTGGTTCGAACCCAGAACTCTAAATAAGGAGAACATGAATTAATTCTAATCATGGGGAAAGATTAGAAACCTTGGATTAATTTTCCTGCACACTTAGCACAAAAATAGATTAAACTCTTTTGAATCATGGTTTTAAATCATCATCAAAATACAAAGAGAACCTAACAATCTCCCCCTTTTTGATGATGACAAAACCATGCCTTAAAATAATAAAGATAACAAATGTAAGCTCCCCCTCAAAATATACTTCTAAGTTTCAACAGGAATAGCACAAACAAGTAATAAAGATAATTTTCATTTTTAAGTTCCTCTCCCCCTTTTTGTCATTAGCAAAAAGAAACATACAAATCAGCAAAATGTAGTAGACAAAAGATAATACCAAGATAGCATCAAAGTCAAACATTTTCTATAACTAAACCAAAATTCTTACCTACTTTGCCAATACCTTTGATGTGACCTTTTGCATTGTTATAAAAAATCACCGTTCCTACTTCCATTGCCTCAAGGTTCAAGAATTGTGATTTGTCTCCTTATATGTCTAGAACACCCATTGTCCAGAAAATTTTTCTTTCTTCAAATTTTCCTTCAAGCTTCCTTGAAAACACAACTTAAGCACTTGATTTTGGTACCCAAACTTTCTTGGGTCCATTTAACTTAGTCGAACAAGTAGAAATTTTCTTAGGAACCCACTTTAAATTCATCTTAAAGAAATTCTTTCTAGTATAGCACTGATGAATATAGAGTCCCCTTTTTAAACAATAATGACAGATGATACCATCATGAACATGATTATCTCTAGAACTTGATGCTTCTACTATGTCATAAGAATGCAAAGTATTAAAATTAATAAAAACAGTAGATTTAGATGAGGAAGACTTGGATAATTCAAAAGAAAGTCCAGCTCTATTATGAGGAAATCTTTGTGAACTTAAATTGTTGTCTTATTTACCTTTGCCTTTCACAAAACTATTCAGAGAACATTCAAGATGGCTTATTTTCCTTTTTAATTCATCTACCAGTGTATCATACTCTTCAATCAGCTTTTGTTTGCAATTTCTAAATGCAATTTGTTGACTCTTCCAAGTTAATTTCCATATTTTGACTAATTATCTTTTCCTCATTTAAAGATTCTTTCAAATCACTGTTTTCTTTTCTAAGTGACAAAATTTCCCTTTTTAAAGATTCATTTTTTGCACTAATTTGTTTAGTATGCTCATATAATTCACTAAATACATCTTGCAAATCTTCATATGGCATTTCATCATCACTAGCATGATCAAAAATAGAAGAAGAATTGGAATTTACCTCATCTGTGTCATCATTTGCCATGAGACAAATATGAGCTTCCATGTCACTTATTTCTTTACTAGAAGATGAGTCCTCACTGCAGCTCCATGTGGCAACCATTGCCTTCTTTTTCTTTTTGGCTTTTAGACTTTTTTCACCATTGTTTGGGCACTCAGATTTAATATGTCCAGCCTTCTTACATTTGTAGCAGATAATTTCATCATTTTTACTACTTTCTCCCTTTCCTTTACTGCTTTTGTAATTTTTCTTTTGTTGCCCTTGATTCTTCAGCTTGTCTTTCCTTAGGAAACTCTTAAACTTTTGAGCAAGCACTATAAATTCTTCATCATCCTCTTCATCACTGTCACTTTCATCTTTAAAGGAGCTTTTGAAAGCTACAGATTTCTTCTTTCGAGAATCATCATCACTTTCATCATTTTTCATGGCCATTTCATGTGTAAGAAGCTTCCCTTGTAGCATCTCAACAATCATGGTACTTAAATCATGAGCTTCTTCTATTGTCGTCTTGATTGAACTCCAAGATTTTGGCAAGGAGCGAAGAATTTTTCTGACCTTATCTTCCTCCGGAAGCACCCTATCAAAAAGCTTTAATTTATTAGTGATTTTGGTAAAACGAGTAAACATGTCTTTAATGTCTTCATCTGATTTCATTTTGAACAGCTCATATTTTTGAACCAACATGTTAATTTTTTATTTCTTGACTTCATTAGTTCCTTCATGAGCCACTTGTAATTTATCCCACATTTCCTTAGCAGAATCACATGCACTAATTCTATCATATTCACTAAGATGTAAAGCACAAAATAATGCATTTTTAGCTTGAGCATTTATCTGCAATTTCTTTTTTTCAGCTTGATCATATGATGCAGGATCCTTAGGAACAAGTTGGTTATTTTGGTCTCTAGCTAATACTTTATAAGGTCTTCTAGCAATGCAATCCCACATCTCATAACTATTTGCTTCTAACCAAATTTGCATCCTATTTTCCAATATTGATAATTTGTTCCATCAAAATAAGGTGGCCTAGTGATTGAATGACCTTCAACAAAATGAGCTTGGAAAGCCATGGATCTACTCAAGATTGTTAAATCTATTTCTAAGAGAACCTGCTCTAATACCAATTGTAATCCTAGCTAGCTACCCCTCAATTCCTAAGATATAAAACTCATTTCATTTCCTTTATAAAAATGTGAATGAAGTTTTCAATATATATAAGCTGTTGTGCAGAATAAACAAGAGTAATATAGTGTAGAAAAATAAAAGAGAAGGAAGAGAATATCAAGTCGTGATTTATAGTGGTTCCTCCAACCCGGAGTACGTCCACTCTCCAAGCCTCCTTGCTCGAGAGTTCAATCCACTAGAAATCTCTTGCTTACGGGTGCAAGATTAAACTAGAACATACTCTTGCTTGCGGGTGCAAGATTAAACCTCCACAAGTGAATCTCAACTCACTCAACCCCTTCAAGGATTTTCCCAATCCAAGAAGAATACAAAACCCTTGTAAGACAATTAACCCAAAAGCTCACAAGAAGAGAAGAAGGAGATCCAAAACATTTTCAAAAACAAACCCTGCTTTTCTGTATTGCTGGAGCAGTTCGTCCTTCTTCATACCTCAGATCTGATTTTTGATGTCCTTTTAATAGTTGGTTGGGAGCCTTGCAATTAAAGCCCATTTAACCTTTCAAAGCCACCTCACAATTGCCACAATTAGGTTCCACCTTATTCTACTAACTTAGACTTGACTTTGGAAAGTGTTCAGACAATGGTTCCACCAAGGCCCATTAAGAATAAGAATAAACAGATAGATGAGTTGTCAAAATTTAACATTCCAAAATTTTTTGCTTCGAAGCCAGAAATAATGGTTCGAACCATTTTCGGAAAACAAAAGTTTGAGATTGATTCGAACCAAAATAAATTGGTTCGAACCTAGAACTTTGAACAAGGAAAACATGAATTAATTCTAATCGTGGGCAAAGATTAGAAACCTTGGATTAATTTTCCTGCACACTTAGCACAAAAATATATTAAACTCTTTTGAATCATGGTTTTAAATCATCATCAAAATACAAAGAGAACCTAACAATAAGTTATTTATACATAATAAAATTTTTTGAACTTTAAAATGTTAGACATCATAATAGTATAGGCTATGTAATTATTATGGAAATTATATTTTACAATTTAGATTGCATTGAATTAAAAAATAAAAT